CAGTGCCACCGAGCCCCAATGCCACCCCAATGTCCCTCTATGTGTCCCCAGTGTCCCCAAGCCCCAATGGCAGCCCAATGTCCCTCCATGTCGCCCCAGTGTCCTTCCATGTCACCTCAGTGCCACCGAGCCCCAATGCCACCCCAATGTCCCTCCATGTGTCCCCAAGCCCCAATGCCACCCCAATGTCCCTCTATGTGTCCCCAGTGTCCCCAAGCCCCAATGGCAGCCCGATGTCCCTTCATGTCACCCCCATGTCCCCATCACCTCCCTTGTCACCCCAGATGCCCACGAGGTCCCTGTCACAGGCCACCACGGCGGGGTCCGGGGCCACCGTGGGGGGATCCGGGACGACCACGGGGGGATCTGGGGCCACCACGGGGGGATTTGGGGCCACCACAAAGACGAACTGGGCCACCACGGGGATGCCTGAGCCCACCCCAGCTGGATCTGGGGCCACCATGGGGGACACCAGGACCACCACCCAGGGGACCGGGACCACCGCGGTGGGGTCTGGGGCTGTCCCGGCGCCGTCCGGGGCCACCACGGAGAGCTCCGGGGCCACCCCCCAGGGGACCGGGGCCACCGCGGCGGGCTCGGGGGCCGGCGGGCGCTGGTGGCGGGTGGCGTTGGCCCGGGCGGGCTCGGGGCTGGCCCGGGCGGGCTCGGGGCTGGCCCGGGCTCGGCGGCGCTGGGACGCGCTGGCCACGGCGTGGGCGCTGGCGCTGCTCTTCGGGCTGCCCCAGGTCGGCATCTTCGGGCAGCGCGAGGTGGCCCCGGGCGAGAGCGACTGCTGGGCCACCTTCGCGCAGCCCTGGGGCGCCCGCGCCTATGTCACCTGGGTGGCGCTGGCCGTGCTGGTGGCACCCGCCGTGCTGCTGGGGGTGCTGCTGGTGGCCGTGGCCCGCGCGCTCCGGGGGTCCCCCGGGGGTCCCGGGGGGCTCGGGCGGGCCCGGGCCAAGAGCCACCGCATGGCCGTGGTGGTGCTGGGCGTGTTCGTGCTCTGCTGGAGCCCCTTCTTCTGTGCCCAGCTCTGGGCTGTGTGGGACCCCCGAGCGCCCCGAGAAGGTGAGAGGGGACAGGCACACGGGGACAGGGACATGGGGACACGGGGACATGGGGACAGGGATATGGGGACAGGGAGACATGAGGACACAGGGACAGTGAGCTCTGCTGGAGCCCCTTCTTCTGTGCCCAGCTCTGGGCTGTGTGGGACCCCCGAGCGCCCCGGGAAGGTGAGAGGGGACAGGCACACGGGGACAGGGACATGGGGACACGGGGACATGGGGACAGGGATATGGGGACAGGGATATGAACACGGGGACAGGGGACACAGGGACAGGGGACACAGGGACATGGGGACAGGGACATGGGACATGGGGACAGGGGGACATGGAGATGGGGGTTGGGGACAAGGAGAAGGTGACAGGGACACAGTGATGGGGACATGGGGACAGGGGCCAGGGAGGTGACAGTGCCATGGGGGTGACAGGACTGTGGGGGTGACAGCGCCATGGGGGTGGCAGGGCCGGGGAGGTGACAGCGCCATGGGGGAGGTGACAGCGCCATGGGGGAGGTGACAGGACCGGGGAGGTGACAGCGCCATGGGGGAGGTGACAGCGCCATGGGGAGGTGACAGTGCCATGGCGACATCGCCCAGCTGAGCGTGACCCCGACATTTCCCACGCCGCGCTCCGGCTGGGGCTGGCTGTCACCGCAGTCCCCGTGCCGGCTGTCCCCAGCTGTCCCCCCGTGTCCCCAGGGCCCGCGTTCACCATCCTGATGCTCCTGGCCAGCCTGACCAGCTGCACCAACCCCTGGATCTCGGCCGCCTTCAGCGCCAGCCTGGCCCGGGCCATGGCGCGGCTGCTGTGCCCCTGCCGCCACCGCGGGGACACCGGGGGACATCAGTGACATCAGTGACACCAGGGGACATCAGTGACACCGGGGACATCAGTGACATCACTGACACCGGGGGACATCAGTGACACCGGGGGCATCAGTGACACCGAGGACATCAGTGACATCACTGACAGTGACACGGGGCCATGGCACGGCTGCTGTGCCCCTGCCGCCACCGCGGGGACACCGGGGACACCGGGTGACAGGGGTGACATCGGTGGCACCGTGGTGACATTGGGGACACCGTGGTGACATTGGGGACACAGCGTGACAGGGGTGACATCGGTGGCACCATGGTGACATTGGGGAGACAGGGTGGCACGGGGAGGGAGTGTCACACCGCGGGGGTGACACTGTGGGGGTCACAGGAGTGTCACCCAGGGGTCACCCGGGGGTCACCTGGGGGTCACTCAGTGTCATCCAGGGGCCACTCGAGGTCACCCGGTGTCACCGTGGGGGTCACACGCAGTGGGGGAGGGGTCGCACGGAGATTTGAGCTGGGGGGCGGGGCTTGCACGAGGGGACAAAAGGGGGGCCAACCCCCCTTGCTCTGTGGAAACCAATCACCAATAAAGCAGAATTTTACCCCAAATTTCCTCCTTTTTTTACCCCCAAATTCCCAGATTTTTACCCCAAAATTTCCAAATTTTTATCCCAAAATTTCCAAATTTTTATCCCACAATTTTCCAGATTTTTACTCAAAATTTCCAGACTTTCACCCCAAATTTTCTAAATTCCTACCCCAACATTTCCAGATTTCCACCCCAAATTTTCTAAATTCCTACCCCAAAATTTCCAGACTTTCACCCCAAATTTTCTAAATTTCTACCCCAAAATGTCCAGATTTCCACCCCAAATTTTCTAAATTTCTACCCCAAAATTTCCAGACTTTCACCCCAAATTTTCCAGATTTTTACCCCAAAATTTCCAGACTTTCACCCCAAATTTTCTAAATTGCTACCCCCAACGTTCCCAGATTTTTACCCCAGCATTTCCAAATTTTCACCCCAAATTTTCCAGATTTTCACCCCAAATTTTCCAGACTTTTACTCAAAATGTCCAAACTTTTATCCTCAAATTTCCAGGGTTTCATCCCAAAATTTCCAAATTTTTACCCCAGCATTTCCAGATTTTTACCCCCAAATTTCCAAATTTTCACCCCAAATTTTCCAGATTTTCACCCCAAATTTTCCAGACTTTTACTCAAAATGTCCAAACTTTTATCCTCAAATTTCCAGGGTTTCATCCCAAAATTTCCAAATTTTTACCCCAGCATTTCCAGATTTTTACCCCCAAATTTCCAAATTTTCACCCCAAATTTTCCAGCCCCCCTGGCACTTTTGGGGTCCCAGCCACCCCTTTTGGGGTCCCTCCCCCCCAGGGCAGGACCCCGAACTCTGCCAGGCTCTGGAACCACCCCGAGCTTTATTTGGGGACACTTTGGGGTCCCCCAGGATGTTTTGGGGTCCCCCCGGGTGTTTTTGGGGTTTCTGTGGGTTTTGGGGTCCCCAGGATGTTTTTGGGGTCCCCCCAGGATGTTTTTTGGGTCCCCCCGGGTGTTTTTTGGGTCCCTGTGGGTTTGGAGTCTCTGTGCCTTTTGGGGTCCCCCCCGGGAAGTTTTGGGGCCCCTGTGTGGGTTTTGGGGTCCCACAGGGTCTTTTTGGGGTCCCCCCGGGTGTTTTTGGGGTCCCCCGGGTTTTGGGGTCCCCCAAGGGCTTTTTGGGGTCCCCCCGGGTGTTTTTGGGGTCCCCCGGGTTTTGGGGTCCCCCAAGGGCTTTTTGGGGTCCCCCCGGGTGTTTTTGGGGTCCCCCGGGTTTTGGGGTCCCCCAAGGGCTTTTTGGGGTCCCCCCGGGTGTTTTTGGGGTCCCCCGGGTTTTGGGGTCCCCCAAGGGCTTTTTGGGGTCCCCCCGGGTGTTTTTGGGGTCCCTGAGGGTTTGGGGGTCTCTGTGCGTTTTGGGGTGCCGGGTATTTTTTGGGGTCCCCTGGGTGGGGTTTTGGGGTCCTCCCAGGATGTTTTGGGTCCCCCCCCGGTGTTTTTGGGGTCCCCCGGGTTTTGGGGTCCCCCGGTGGTTTTGGGGTCACCCCGGGGGTCTCCGGGGCACGCAGCCCCCCAGCTCCAGCGCCTCCGGCCACCCCTCGTATTTGTTGGAGCCGCGGCTGTTCCGGACGTGCTGGGGGGATTTGGGGGGGATTTGGGGGGTTTGGGGTCACTTTGGGACCCCCCAAATCCCCGAACCGCCCCCACTTATCCCCCAGGTGTCCCTAAAGCCCCCAAATCCCCCAAAATTCCAAGAGCCCCCCAAGCCCCCCGGGCCGGGGTCTCACTTGGTGGCCGGGTCGTCGTAGGAGGCCACGAGCACCAAGGTTCCCTCGTGGAGCGGCCGCAGGAAGCGGAGCAGATCCTCCACGTCTGGGGGCCACAAACGGGCACAGTCAGCCCAGAAACGGGGCCAGAAAATGGGGAAAATCGGCACAAAAATGGGGAAAACCAGCACGAAAATGGGGCGAAAATCACAAAAAACCCCTGGGAAAATCAGCCCAAAAACAGGGAAAGCAGGGCCAAAACATGGGGCAAAAATCACAAAAAAACCCCAGGGAAAATCAGCCCAAAAATGGGGCAAAAATCAGCACAAAAAATGGGGAAAATCAGTCCAAAAATGGGGAAAATCAGAACAAAAATGGGTCAAAAATCACCAAAAAGCCCAGGGAAAATCAGTCCAAAAATGGGGAAAATCAGAACAAAAATGGGTCAAAAATCACCAAAAAGCCCAGGGAAAATCAGTCCAAAAATGGGGAAAAATCAGCATGAAAATGGGGAAATTGAGGCCAAAAAATGGGGAAAATCAGCACAAAAGTTGGGGGGAAATCAGCACAAAAATGCAGCAAAAGTCACAAAAAAACCCAGGGAAAATCAGCTCAAAAATGGGAGAAAATCAGCCCAAAAATGGTGAAAATCAGCACGAAAATGGGGGGAAATCACCAAAAAATTATGGAAAATCAGGCCAAAAATTGGGGAGAAATCAACACAAAAATGGGACAGAAATCAGCACAAAAATTAGGAAAAATCAGAACAAAAAATGGGGAAAATCAGCAAAAGAATGGGGGGAAAACACCCCAAAAATTGGAGGAAAATAAACTAAAAATGGGGGAAAATCAGCCCAAAAATGGGGGGAAATAAACCCAAAAATAGGGGGAAATCGATGCAAAAATGAAGTAAAAATCAGCCCCAAAAATGACAGGAAACAACCCAAAAACTAAGGGGAAATCAGCACAAAAATCAGGGGAAAACATCCAAAAAATTGAAGGGGGAAAAACCTAAAAATGGGGGAAATCGAGCCAAAAATGAGAGAAAATCATCCAAAAATTAAAAGAATCCCAAAGTCAGGAGAAAATAAATTCAAAAATGGGGCAAAAATCACCCCAAAAATGGGCAAATGAGCCCAAAACTGGAGAAATGAACCCAAAAATGGAGAAATGAGCCCAAAAAGGAGAAATGAGCCCAAAACTGGGGAAATGAGCCCAAAACTGGGGAAATGAGCCCAAAAATGGAGAAATGAGCCCAAAAATGGGGAAATGAGCCAAAACTGGGGAAATGAGCCCAAAACTGGGGAAATGAGCCCAAAACTGGGGAAATGAGCCCAAAAATTAGCCCCGCCCCCAGGCTCACTCTCGCCCCTCCAGGCAGATGCGCGGTCCCACCCCGTTAGCCCCGCCCCTGTCTTTAGCCCCGCCCCCAGGCTCACTCGCGCCCCTCCAGGCAGATGCGCGGTCCCACCACGTTGGCGGCGCCGCTCAGCAGGCGGAAGGCAGGGGGGGCGGGGCGCGGGGCGGGCCCAGCAGTGACGTCACCGCCAGCCAGGCCAGGGCGGCCACGCCCCCCAGGGCCAGGAGGCGGAGGGGGCCTGGGGGAGGGGAGTCAGCGCAACACCTCAAACACCCCAAACACCCGAAAACAACCCACAACACCCCAAAAACAACACCTGAAAACACCCCAAAACACCCGGAAACACCCCAAAACACCCCAAAAACACCCAAAACACCAGAAAACAACCCACAACACCCCAAAAACACCCGCAAAACACCAAAAACACCCGAAAACACCCCAAAAACAACAAAAACACTCAAAACCACTCAAAACACCCCAAAACCACCCCAAAAACAACAAAAACACCCGAAAACAACAAAACACCCCAAAAACACCTGAAAACACCCCAAAACACCCCAAACTACCCCCAAAATACCCCCAAAACAACAAAAAACACCCGAAAACACCCAAAACCATCCGGAAAACACAAAAAAAACACCCAAAAGCCACCCAAAACCTTTTAAAAAACACCAAAAAACCACCCAAACCACAAAAAAAAACCACTCAAAAAAACACCTGGAAACCAACAAAAACACAAAAAAACCACCCGAAAACCACAAAAATACCACCCGAAAACTCCCAAAAAACACCTGAAAATTCCCAAAAAATCATCCCAAAATCATCCCAAAAACACCCGAAAAACACCCAAAACCAGCCCAAAAACTGTCCCAAAACCACCCAAAAAATCCCCAAAAATACGCCAAAAACACCCAAAAAGCACCCAAAAAACCACCAAAAACCAGTCGAAAAACACCTGAAAAATACCCAAAAATTCATCCCAAAATTTCCCAAAAAATCATCCCAAAACCAGCCCAAAAACTGCTCTAAAACCATCCCAAAAATCCCCCAAAACTCCCAAAAAACCCACAAAAAACCCCCCAAAAAACACCCGGAAACTCCTGAAAGATCACCCCAAAATCGTCCCATGAAGACCCCAAAGAACACCCAGAAAATGCCCAAAAACCACCCAAAAACTCCCCAAAAACACCCAAAAACCACCCGAAAATTCCCTAAAAATCACCTGAAAATCATCCCCAAAACACCCAAAGAATCATCCTAAAACCACCCTAAAAACTGCCCCAAAACCACACAAAAAATCCCCAAAAATCCCCCGAAAACCACCTGAAAACTCCCTAAAAATAATCCCAAAAATTGTCGTGAAAAAAACCCAAAAAACCTCCCCAAACCACCCCCAAAATCATCCCAAAAACACCCAAAAAATCGTCCCAAAACCAGCCTAAAAATATCCCAAAATCTTCCCAGAAACACCCAAAAAAATCCCCAAATCATCCCAAAATCAGCCCAAAAACACCCAAAAAACACCCCAAAAAATTCCAAAACATCCCAAATATCTCCCAAAAAACTCCCTAAAACTTCCTCCAAAATCATCCCAAAAATTCCTCAAAAGCCACCAAAAAAATCCCAAAAATGACCGAAAAACACCCAAAAATCAACACAAAATCCCCCCAAAATCATCCCAAAACCCGCCAAAAATCATCCCAAAAACTCCCAAAAAATTCCCTCAAAATCATCCCCAAAAAATCCCAAAATCATCCCAAAATCCCCCCAGAGTTCCCCAAAATTTTCCAAAATCTCCCCAAAAAACCCCGAAAATTCCCCCCAAAAACAAACAAAAAAAATTCCCCCAAACTCCCCCAGCCCCAATTTTGGGGAATTTGGGGGAAATTTGGGGGAATTCTGGGGATTTTTGGGCGATTCGGGGGGAATTTTGTCTGGTTTTTTTGAAGATTTTGGGGAAATGTTGGGAATTTTGGGGAGTCTTGGGGGGTTTGGGGAGAATTCTGGTGGAATTTTGGGGGAATTTGGGGCAGTTTGGGAAATTTTAGGGAAATTCTGGGGGATTTTGGGAAAATTTGTGGGAATTTGGGGCATTTTGGGGATTTTTGGGAAATTGAAGGAATTTGGGGGAATTTGGCAGAATTTAGGGGAACTTGGTGGAATTTTGGAGGAATTTTCAGGGGATTTTAGGGGCATTTAGGAGAAATTTTGGGGGAATTTGGGGAAATTTTGGGGGAATTTGGGGATTGATGGGAAATTTGGAAGGATTTTTGGAGAATTTTGGGGGATTTTTGGGAATGTTTTTTGATTTTAAGGGGCATTTTGGGGCATTTTAGTGAAATTTTGAGGGATTTTGGAGGAATTTTAGGGAAATTTGGAGGAATTTTTGTGAATTTTGGGGGAAATTTGGGGAATTTTTAGAATTTTGGGGGATGTTTGGGGAAATTTTGGGAATTCCGGGGGATTTTGGGGAATTTTTGTGGATTTTGGGGGAAATTTGGGAGATTTTGGGGAATTTGGAGAAATCTGGAGGATTTTATGGAAAATTTCCGAGGAATTTTTGGGATTTTAGGGGAGTTTTGGGGGAAATTTGGAGGAATTTGGGGGATTTTTTAAAATTTTTTGGAAATTTTGGGGAATTTTGGCGGATTTTATTTGAATTTTGGGGAAATTTGGGGGATTTTTAGGATTTGGGAAGTTCGGGGGATGTTTTTGGGGATTTTTGGTTTTTTGGGCAGTTCGGGGCATGTTTTTGGGGGAATTTTTGGTTTTTTGGGAAGTTCGGGGGATGTTTTTGGGGATTTTTAGGATTTGGGCAGTTCGGGGGATGTTTTTGGGGATTTTTGGGTTTTTTGGGAATTTCGGGGGATTATTTTTGGGATTTTTTGGTTTTTTGGGAAGTTCGGGGGATTATTTTTGGGATTTTTTGGTTTTTTGGGCAATTCGGGGGATTATTTTTGGGATTTTTTGGTTTTTTGGGCAGTTCGGGGGATTTCCCCCCTCACCGCCGCCGTTGCCCCGACGCTCTGCCCGCGGCACTTCCGTGTTCGCGCCTGAACCAATCAGCGCTCGGCGCGCTCAGCGCTGACCAATCAGGTCGCGCGCCCCGCCCGCAGCGCGGGGTTGATCCAATCAGCGCGCGGAAAGGAGCGGCCAATCAGGAGTGAGGGCTGCGCCGCGTTGTGGCCAATGAGGAGCGGGAGTGGGCGAGGCGGTGACGTCATACCCGGATGTGGTTCCGGGACTGCAACTCCCGGCAGCCCCTGCGGCGGGGACAGCGCCTCCTGGCGGCTGGGAGCGCTCCCAGTAACTCCCAGTTCACTCCCAGTAACTCCCAGGGCTGCCAGTAACCCCTCAGGGACCCTCCCAGTGCTCCCAGTTCCCTCCCAGTACTCCCAGGCCCTCCCAGTAACCCCTCAGGGACCCTCCCAGTGCTCCCAGTTCCCTCCCAGTACTCCCAGGCCCTCCCAGTAACCCCTCAGGGACCCTCCCAGTGCTCCCAGTTCCCTCCCAGTACTCCCAGGCCCTCCCAGTAACCCCTCAGGGACCCTCCCAGTGCTCCCAGTTCCCTCCCAGTACTCCCAGGCCCTCCCAGTAACCCCTCAGGGACCCTCCCAGTGCTCCCAGTTCCCTCCCAGTACTCCCAGGCCCTCCCAGTAACCCCTCAGGGACCCTCCCAGTGCTCCCAGTTCCCTCCCAGTACTCCCAGGCCCTCCCAGTAACCCCTCAGGGACCCTCCCAGTGCTC